TGAAGGTGATCAGCTCATGGTCGCTGTCACCCAGCTTCCCATCGATCACTAGGTCGCTGACTAGGTCATCCCCAGTAGCCAGTACCAGGTCGAGCAGCGCTTTGCCTCTCGTTGGCCCATAGATTTCTTTAGTCAGGTAGAGGTCATCCACGCACAAGAGGAAGCTTTGCAACTGCTCAGATTTTGCTGAGCGATCTTCCCACGAGATGTCCGGGTAATTGAAATCACCCATGACAACCATGGTCCTGGAGCATGCGGCCTCAGCCAGTTCCCAGGCAAACTCCTGGTCAAGCTCAGGACTTTGGGTGGGAGGTCTGTAGTAGACTCCCACCATTGTGTACCCTGTGCCGTGTTCCCCACGGATTTTAACCCAGAGGGTCTCCAGCCGTCCACCCTGGTCACCAATATCGGCTTGCAGGGACATGTAGCTTTCCTTAACATAGAGAGCTACACCCTATGACATCATAATTATTTGCATTACATACTTCATCCACCTTCCTAGAAAGAGGCTGGTGCCACTGCTGAGAACCAGCACTGCTGGGGCCAGTCTCCACGGAAACCCCAGGCCGCAGGGTCTGCTGGGCAATGGAATCCACTGCCATCCAGATCTGGCTCATGGACTGGACTTTGCCCACTGCTGGGTTATGCTTATAGAAAAAGCCAAAAGGACAATTACTTCCTTCCACTGATGAGATTAGTGGCTGGAGACCAGAAACTGGAGTGAGAAGTACTTTGAGGGGAAAGGGACTTTTTAAGGTGGAATTGTAACAACACTTGAGTGATTGAGATGAATATTTGATGACCTTTAACTAAAAGGATAAGGACTTACCAGCCTCTATTGTAGTCTGATCCCTTTTACACTGGAAAGTGCTTTGAGCTAGAGGAAATGAGGTTGATGCCAGACTATAGACAGATCAAGAGAGAAGGTGGCAGCTGGGCAGCAGTGATGTCACTTTTTATAGGAGGGAAATATGTTCATAGCTGAGAAAAGGAAGACTGTTGGATGGTGGTGGTAATGCAGGAAGGAATCAACCTCACTTAGATCTTGCTGGATTGTTAATAATGTAATTTCAAACATTAATGTGACGATCTTTGCTCATATTACAAAATGTATTCAAATAAGACCTGAATAAAAAAGACCAGAAAGTGCCTATTTGGAATCTCATACTTGGGTTTCTTTCTATCTTTGAAAAAGATATTCATATTCCCCTATCAAAAGTTCTTTGGTTCATCTAGTTAGACATCTTTGTCCTCAAGTCTTTGGAACAGATATCTAAACATCCAGGGTGATCCAGAATTTTTAATTATCAAAAGAGAAATTATATTTTGATTTCTGATACTTTGACATTTTATGCTAAACAAATATGTGACCCTTCTTTGCATAACTTCCCCCCAAGAAAATATTAATGATGCAGGGGCAGAGTCAAACGTGAGACTTTCTATTTGCTTCCAAATTCAGATCTCCATCTCAAAAGCATTATAATGGTAGCATTCAAAAATATACGTATTTGTCAAAGATTCCCTTCTATTTAGTGTACTACAGGAAATGCCTTAATACAGAAAATACTGAAGTTGGCAGACTGCGAATCTTACATATCTTTAGGCATATCTGGGGAAACTTGCTGCATGCCAGAGTGCACATGTAGGAGCATGCCCAGGGACAACTAGCAGCGGCACAAATATGTGGCGCTGCTATTTGTCCCAGGGGAAATGCATGTCCCCGCTTATGGGGATGCTCCCAAAGTGTCTTCATGTAAGTATTATCCTATACGTTATTGCTATTTCAGTCTACATAGTTCTTTCAGGATCTTAAACTATCACAGAAATAAATTCAGTTAAATTTGCATAGCAGTAACATTTCATTTTGACAGATTTGTGTCATTCCCTCTGCCACGTGTGCACACTATATTATTTTCAAAGAAAGAGATGCCTTTTTAAGTTTGTAGTCCTGGTAGTACAACCTGCAGTATACATGTCTTTCTGTGATTGTGGGGTTAAGTAAGAAGAGAGAAACACAAGGAGCTTTGTTGCCATGTGTTGCACACATGGTACCATCATGTTTCATAATGCAGTGTCCCTTTTCCTCTGTGCCAAAAGCCTTTCTTTTTTCCTCCTCAAAATCAAATTACTTTGTCTCACTTTTCACAACTGACTTCTGCTCCCCTGATGTCTGATTCCCTATTTCAATCTCAGATTTAAAAATTGTTAAGATTGACTTCCCAAATATTTCCTGAATACCTTACCCTTTCTTACTTGACCTACTGCTTTCCTTGTTTAGACAGTGAACAGAGACTGAATATATAGATGTTTAATAATAACACCTCATGACATCAGCACTATAAGTATGTAAGCAAAAAAAAAATCACAACTGAACCAAATTAAACTATACTGCAACTGAAGGGGAAAGCTTATATTTAGCAAATTTCCTTGTTTATTTTAAATTATAGTAATTATTAGTTTATCAGAACCTATTTTATTTCACCTAAAAAAGCTACTGAAAAATTTTTATGGGAACACTTGGAAAATCTCCTACCAAGAAGTAGAAATAAAACATATTGGGCATGTTTACACTTGTATTTACATGCAGCTAAACTTAATGGGCCTTTGCTTAAGGCATACTAAGAGAATTTAGGCATGCGTCTACATGTGAACATGCTAATGTGCACTAAGGCACATTAAATTTAGGCACAAATTACACATGCGCTAATGTGACTTAGCTGAAGCACTAATGCACATTAACGTGCATTAGCATGTCTACACATGTGCTAATGCAACTTAGCTATTCACACCTAAATTTGATACCTGCATAAAGCTTATGAAGGTATCAAATTTAGGCTCATAGCCTTAAATCACCATTTTTAAGGCACATTAAGGGCATGAACATGTAGGCATACACCTTTAATGTGCCTTAAAAATGGAGATTTTGGGCTAAGCCCGTTTAAGTCCCATTAGTGCCAAAAGCCACTGTGATTTGCGTCTTTAAGGTGAGTACAATTTAAAAAGCTTTAGGCAGACTGCTCTATTTCTTTATTTATAAAATGACTTCCTAAGAGTATCAAGAGAGGTTAGAGTAAAAAATTTAATGTCTCTTTCTTTATTTCTGTATCACAGATTAAAGTTTTTTCCCATCTTGTTTTGTAAAGATATTTGAACTGAGAGCTCTAAAATATGAGTAAAGGGAATTCTTAATCTTTTTCTTCTTCTTTTGCCTGAAACTCTTTGGAGACCGCATATGGCACTGGTATTTGAGTTTAAAACCCTTTATAGTTTTCCTGTAAAGAAGCAAAGCAAATTTATCTACTTATATGAATATATGCTGTGTGTGCAATGAGGAAGGCAGGCAAGCTGGAATTGTTTTTCTCAGACTAATCAGTTTAAAAAGTTCTTTGATGCTTCATCTATGACTGCCTCATTTTCACTACAGTACAAAGCACAATGATCTCCAGTCCTGACCATCCTGCAATTGTGATAATAATTTATACTGCAAATGTAATGGTTCTTTATCATTATTAAATACATATACCTAGTAACAATTCTGCATGGTTGCTTGAAAGATTCTAAAACAAAAAGTGGCAGATAACTGCATAGGGTTTGGGCTTTAAATAGCAATAAATTTGTGGTGCAGAAAAAACTGTGCAACTGTTTCAACACCCAAACTGCAGGTATAAGATAGCTAATCATGGAGTGCATCTACACATGCCATTAGAAAGCAGCAGTAAACTGCAGAGCTTATTGCTCCTGGGAAGCTCCCAGGCATGCAGTTTACACATGCTCCCAAAGCACAGCACATTGACTTGGATCACAGCAGCCCTAGCTGGTACATCGGCCTGAGGATCAGCCTGCCAGCCCAAGGCTGCTCCAACTGGGCTCCAATATGCTGCGGAGGGTCTAGTTGGGGCACAAGGGTGTTTCAGTGTGGGGTAGCAGGCAGGCAGCCCCAGCACTGAAGCATCCTTGTGCCCCAGCCAGCCTGTCAGCATCTACATGTGCTCTGCTGCGTATGAATAAACTCTGCAGCAGGGTAGGACTTGTATTTACTATGCAGTTATTTGGTTAACTGCGCAATACATCTCTTGTGTTGATGCTCCCAGGAAGTTCTTAGCAAATGCCAGACAGCTGTTCTCATCCAAGGAAACACTTATTTAGGAAAGCTGCCAATGACTCAGAAAGTCATTCAGTAGTGAAGGTCAGCTATCTTCAAGATGGGCAGCCTATATAACCCCAAATTTGAAAGACGTTAAATGGTTTAGTCCAACAGGGTTTGCTGGAAGGCATATAATTATATCAGTCAAATCTGGTATAGGAACAACTGATAGCCAAGCCAATGTGTTGCTTTGATATTATTTCTGCACTGTTTCTTCCTTACAGGTAAGGTTTCGAACTGGAAAACAGCCTGCAGGCTCTCCAACCAAAGACAAGAAATAAAGTGCCAATTATTAGTCTCTTCATTTAATTTTCTTCAGAATTTGTTTGCTTTATTCCAAAAAAACAATTTCTAAACATATCAGTTCAAACTACTGGATAATAACTGCCTATGCCTTCCAAGTTTCAGCTATCTGGAATGAAATAAGACATGCCTTTTCCTGTGGCATTTCTTAGCTTGCTTTTTGTATTCCTTAACCCAGTTTTATTTTAGTGCATAGGTACTATTCAGATTGAAGACATTTAAAGAGTGCCAGTAAATGTTGAGCTGTTCCACTTTCTACAGGTTGTTTGGCTAGGTATAGACATTTATTCTGCCTCAGGCTTTTTTAATCTAAGTTATGCAGTTTTCCATAAGTGGCATAGTTTAGATCAGTAGTGAACAGAATACATATTCACCCTTGGTGGAGAGGGGACAAATCTTAGATTGGGCTCCACTATTTTTAAACCAGTCTGTGTGTGCTGAACTTCTGTCCTGTTATGGGTATAGATTGGTTTCCAATCACTTATACTTGTACTTAAAAGTGTAATATCTTCACCTGGCCAGAGAGTCTGAGAGTGAGATACTCAATTGTGCTAGTAAAAGCTTCCGCACAGAATTTATAACCCAGCAGGCAAGGTGGATAATTCACCTTTTTAGGCCTCTCCTCCCCACAACCCTTGGCTGTTTTAAAGATCAAGGCAGCTCCCTGTATAATTTAGTTTTCAACAATGCCTTGTTATTGTCTTTAACCCTTTCTTGATCCGAAGAGAAAGCTAATCTTGAAGATTAGAGCAAACCATTAAGCTGTGAACCAGGCAGAAAGCATATAATGCATTACTCTAAGATCTGTCCTGGCTGCCAAAACTGTGTGTGAAATTTAAGATGTTAGTTTTAACCTTCAAAGACCTAATGGTTTGAGAACTCATAACCTGAGAATCCTCCTATTAAACACTCAGAAGATGTACTCAGAGGACAGCTGACAGATAGCAGGACTACAGTCCTTGCTCCCATCTTTTGAGTATTGGAAAAATAGAACCAGGAAATGAAATATGAATAATACTGTCACTAAATACTTAATTTCTCTCTATACTTTATGCCTCTGACATGCTGGGTGCATCTACAAGAGATGCTAACAGCACAGTAGCCTAATAACACTGTGCAGTAGCTCATCACAACACAAACAGTGCTGTATTATACTGTGCAGCATTATTAGGCTACTGCACAGTAGTGCCACTTAAAAGGCATTTGGTGGCACTACTGCACAGTAACTCCAGTTACTGTGAATTTATTTAATACTTGATTATAGAAGTACAAAATTAAATATGCAGTAACCACTGCACATTAATGAATGTGTAGACGTACCCACTGAGTATCACAATAGTTACAAAATCTGTCAGAGAAAGAACACTGTGTTGATCTGATGGAGCCAAACACGACAGGGAATCTGAGATATGTAGCGATACAGCATTCTATTTTGCTTTTACACAGACCAGCTCTTGCTAACATCATAGATGGCATAAATGTAACAGATGCCTGTTTCTGTAGATAAGTAGCCAACATATGAGAAAAGATATAATCTAATGCTTAGATAATTGAATGTTGCTGAAGCAGCAAAACATAAGGTATGTAAAATAAAGCAGATTTTTTCATTACGTTTTGGGTTAATGTACTTCATAAACTAGCAAAGACACTTTTTGAATATTACTCTGTTATGTTCGGGTTTTTTGTTTATCCCTTAGTCCCAATGTTTATCCCTTAGTCCCTTTGTCAGTCCCAATCCTCCTGTTGCACTAATGGAAAAAAGGGGAGTTTGAGAGGCCAAAAGTACCTTGAATCTTTCACCACACTTACAATAACAAATTATAAATCCATTACAATATTCATATAATATTTCTTGATCCAGCACTCTGGTGTTGCTTTACTGCCACTCTAAAACAGTATACCTGTTCTTGTGCTGGCGCTACCACAGTTCTCTTGGTCAAAGATCAGGCAGCTGCCACTGCTGGTGATTGCATTAGTGCTACATGTTGTCACAGTAGTATCAGCATTTAGAATTAGGGTGGCCACGATAGAGGACAGTCCAGTTGTCCTCTGTCCTCTATTGATACAAAACCTGACGCCTTTATGTCCTTTATTTTTTTCTTGACGAGAAAGATAGAGGACATAAAAGCATTGGGTTTCATAGCAATGCAGGGCAGAGTAGCAGAAAACCACAATGTCCTTTATGATGGCCACCCTATTTAGAACACGAGGCATATACTGTTGATCGTTACCATTACAAAGGAGAAGTCAAGTGATCTTTTGGACACTACCATATTCTGAGTCTTGACAAATTGGCTCCCAGCTGTGGCATGGACAATGGATTCATGTCTACTTTTAATGACTGGCTGCTCTGTGACCATCACAAGAAACTGTTGTAGAAGTGTTTCAAGGGACTTATCCTGTCGACTATTTGTGAACTAGGCCTCTTTCTCAGTCATCTTGCACTACCTCTGCCCAGTAGACTAGTTTCGACAGTCCCAGGTTCAAGAATGGAAAAACATTCCTGTCAGAGACAAATATATCCAACTCTTCAGAGCCACAGAGTTCCTAAAGATGAGCTCAAGTCAGTTACGGGTATTTATTCTCCTTGGGATGATGAGTTTAGTGGCCATATGCGACTCTATCTGTGTGACTGGAGATAAAGGTTTTCCTCTGCTGGTTGATAAGACAGAAAAGCAGCAGCATAACTAAGAGTGGATGACCAGGGCATGAGCACTAGGCCCTTGGTAAAGTGGGGAAGTGGGTGCTAGAATGGAGGCAGGTGGACTCAAGGCTCCAGCTGCATGAAGCGGAGCAGAGCAGAAGCCCTCTTATTAGCCTCACCCTTCTTTCTTATGGGAGATGCTGCTGCTGCTGCAAGGTCCTACAGCCACAGCAAATTAAGAGTTTTACATCATTGCGCACCAACACATTTGTGGTGGTTGTAGGATAGAGGTCACCTGGCTGTTGTGGGCCACACCTTCCTTTCCAGCAGCACCCAATCCACTCTGTTCCACATAGCTGAAGCCTTAAGCCCCTTGCTTCTATTCAGGCACCCCAGGGTGCACACTCCCAGGTATAGCTCTGCAGACAAGACACTGACTATATCCAAACATATCCCCATTAGTAATACTGCCCAGACAAATAATGTACTGTCTCCACTGGACGAGTTAGATGTTATAACAAAAATGTCATTCATTCTGTCCATCCCTTTAGCAACTGTTGTTTCAGCTGCCTTCAGTCTTGTGGGACATTTGCTGTCTAGGTTTTGGGGCCTATGGCTACTGGGACATCCAGGAGGTAAGACTTTATATCAGCATTCTGCAGCCAGCAGCAACCTACTAAAGTGTCAATTCCTCTGTAGCCTGAGATGAACAATTCTAGATGTGTCAGCTTGCATTTCAGCCACACACTATGTGAACAACAGAGGGACTGATTCCAGACATCTCTTGAGGGAGTCAGTGGCTTTCAGGACTGGTTTATAGGATTGTAGTGCAGGGCCTAAACACATAATTAACTGAAAGGTCTTAGGAAGTAACTTCTCTGGTGGAGTGTAGGCCATTAAGTTAAGGTTCTGGTTTCCTAGTGCCTATTCTACAAAGAAAAAGGTGAACACAATAGTAAACTAAGCTTTCTGCCTCTATGGTTATCTTATCCCTAGCTTAAGTCTTCTTTCCAGGCTTGGCTGTTTCTATGATTTCTTCCCTCAGAACTTGTCCCTGCAGATTTTTCATCTCTTCCAGACCTAAGAAGTATGACAAATCACCTACACTAATAAATGTATGAAACCTTCTTGAGACTTCAGCAGCAGTATCAACACCTGCCTCAAACACGAATGAGTAAAACAAAAATAACATGTTACAGCAGCCGATTTCAAAATTGACCAATGTGCTGTTTCTTGCACTTTTCTCTGGTCATGACCAGATGTTGCAATATTTTAGACAGGATACCTGATAGAAGGACAGCAATCTAGTGCAGCAATCTTGTATTTCCATTTATAATACACCTGCAAATAATTTTCATGGAGAGGATATTATGTCAAGGCTAATCCTAAAAGCCAGAACACACACAAAAAAAGAAATGTTATGAAGTACAAGCACACTTCACTTTGTGATCATTCCGTTCCTACTTGTAAAGTCAAGTTCTCTTTGGAAATTTACTTGTGAAGAAAATAGTGATAAACTACCCTGTGCCCACAGGGAAGAGGAAAAGTAGTAATGATCTTAACTGACATTGCAACAGGGGAATCTGAGGTTGAACTTTCTAACCATCTGGATGACTAAATACAGGAACAGCTTACCTAAAGCAGGTGAACTTTAGCTCAACCCTTCATCCAGTCCACAGGGCTCCTCCTCATGGGCCTGAGAATTTGGAGGCAGTGGAACGGTGGCAGCTAATTGCCGCTCCGCTGCTGTCAAAGTTTCAGACCCAAGGGGAGCACTGTAGGCTAGCTAGCGCACTAGATTAAGCATGCAGGGCTGATCAAGGTGGTATGAGGCTGATCCGGACAGTGCAGGGTGGCACATGGCAGCGTGGGGCAGTAGGGAGCAGTGCTGGGTGGCAGGAAACTGAGCAGGGCAGCACAGGAAGTCAAGGGGGAGATCAAGATCGACAGGGAGCAAAGCAAGGTGACGGGGAGCAAAGCAGGGTGGCACGGGGCCCAGTCCGGCCTGCTGACCAGCCCTATGCCACTTATTTGACTCACGTGGCCAAAAGATTGAGCACCAGTGATCTAGAGATGTTGTGGAATCTCCATCACTGGGAGTGGTTAACTGCAAATTAGACAAATCCTTGGATGGTGATGACTGGGATGGTACTGCCTTGAACAGGATATTGGTTTAGTTGACTGAGATCCCTCCCAGCCCTATTTTTCTAAGGCTCTATGATTTACGGGTGTTTGTCTGCTTGAAGATATCAGAATAGGAAGCAGTGCAAGAAGTAACTAACATTTCCTACAAACTTAGTCCTCCAATGGACATTAAAATATATGGGCTACTCTTTTGA